AAAGTTACAGACAGTAACAGGTTTACAAGAGCACTGAGTGAAAGCCAAGATCAGAAGTCAGAGTAGACATTTCCAAACAGTTCAGCAACCTTGTTCCACTGAACATTAAGAAACACTCCATCTCTTCATGCTTAACACACAGCTTGTAGGAAACCAGTCACAAAGATAACAATTGTAAATTCTCTCTTGCTCAGTTTTCATAGAATCACAGAATGGTTTGGGTTAGAAGGGACCTTAAAGACCATCTTGTTCCATCCCCCTGGCATGGGCAGGGACACCTTCCACTGTCCCAGGTTACTCCAAGCCCTCTCCAACCTGGCCTTGGACACTTCCAGGGACAGGGCAGCCACAGCTGCTCTGGGCACCCTGTGCCAGGGCCTCACCACCCTCACAGGGGAGAATTTCCTCCCAATATCCCATCTAACCCTGCCCTCTGGCAGTGGGAAGCCATTCTCCCTTGTCCTGTTCCTCAAGGCCCTTGTCCAAATTCCCTCTCCAGGCTCTCTTCGAGCCCTTTTAGGAACTGCAAGAGGCTCTGAGCTCTGCCCAGAGCCTTTTCTTCTCCAGGCTGAACAACCCCAATTCTCCCAGCCTTTCCTCACAACAGAGGTGCTCCAGCCCTCCCATCACCCTGGGGCCTCCTCTGGACTCACTCAAAGAGCTCCATGTCCTTCCTGTGCTGGGGACCCCAGGGCTGGAGACAGCTCTGCAGATGGGGTCTCAGCTGAGCTGGGCAGCATCCCCTCCTTGCAGCCCAATCTCCCTTTTAGTGCCCACAAAAGCAGCTGCCCTGTTGAAGGCTTGGCATTCCAGCATCCTCCCTCTCCTACAGGACATCAGTTTGTGCAATGCTGCACTCCTGCCATGACAAACAGCAAAGCCCCGTGCTGGAGAGCTCTGAAATGCAAAGGCAGAGCTGCTCTAGCACAGAGTGCTCTGGAGCACAGCCTGCTGTGCCTGGGACAGGAGCCCCACACCCAGCTGAGCACTGGCTTATCTCATCTCACACAGAAACTTGTTCAAAGGACACTGTCCTCACATTTTTCCACTCACCTGGTGCAACAGATCACTGTAGGAGTGCTGATAGGTTTCCTCCTTCTATCAACAGTGCTGAACTAAATCAGAGCATTTCAGCATGGATAAATGAGCCCTGGCATAAATCAGGCTGAAGCCAAATCCCAAAACACACTGAGGAGCAGGCTACTTCTGTGGATTTCTCAGCATGCTTGCATAGGCAGCCTACCATAAACTCACACTGCCTTTTACCAATTTAGTCTCTCTAACTGAAAAGACTACATTTTCAAACAACACTATTTCCCTGTTCCCACATCCCTGTATATTGCTCCCTCCCAAAACCCCTTTAAAAGAAGTCCTTTGGAGCACCTCCACCTACACAGAGCATTGCCATTACACAGAAACAACTGATCAGCAGTGCAGATAGCCCTTAAATAAACACCACCCTTATGCCTCAATTAGTTTCATTCCCTTGTTGCTCATACCTATTGAAAACAACGTATTTTGTAGCTATTCAAGGTTAAAAAACCTGGTATTTTTCTCACACAGATAAGGGTACCAGAATACCAAGTAAAACACGCCATGGTTGTGCAGGCAATGTTTTTAAGGGGTTCATGCCCTCAGGTACAGCAAGGGAGTTTGCAGAAACAGAATTAAAACGTTCATATTTTGATTAGATAATTACCCAGATTTACAAACCTCAAGAGCAAGTGGACATTACAGCTACAAAGTCACTGTATGTGAGAAGTTAAGCAGTGCACAGTAAGCTATTAACAAACCAGTTAAGCTATTAACAAACAGCTCATTGTTTTACTATGTTTTATCATAGAAGGCATTCATGATAATCTTATCATGCTCTGTTTTTCCCCTCCCTCATAACACATGGCAAGCCCCTTCCCTAGCAGTAGAGAATGAGACATAGTGCTCTAGTAGATAAAAGTTTAATTGGTGAAATCATTCTCTTACAAAAAAAACCTCTTTTTTTTTTTTGACTGCTAAAGGTAAAACAGTAAATGAAGAAAACAGAAAGGTAACCTGACAGCAGCCTGACTAGGAATTACTCCAGCAATTTTCCAGATTTGACAGAGACCTGTAAAATTGTTCCAAACTTCAGCTGCCACCTGCTTCTGAGCAAGTTTTGGACCACTCACTGGTACTTTGCAGTACATGTTTTCCTCAAGTTTCCATTCCAAAATGGAAGCCCATTTTGTTTGGGCTCTACTGGTAAGTACTTAGCACCATGCTCAACAGAAAAAAAGCCACCAATAACAAGGGAAAAAACATCTGATTCACTGACAGACTTCTACCTCTATCATGTTCACTCATCAGGCTGCAAGCAAATCCAGCAGTTTCAGAAAAGGAGACTTTCTTGGTCCAAACAGAAGATAATATCCACCTGGTACCACATTAAATATATCAGAGTTCCAGTCAAACTTGTCCCCTAATGCCTCATTATCATCTATCACGACACATTCCCTGCAGCCTTCAGCTGCCAAGTGCTAGGGCTGCTCACTGAAATACCATTTCCTGCTTCTTGGAAGAACTTCTGCTTCAGCTCTGCCATAGCTGCTCTCCAGCTGACTCATGCAGCTGAAACTGAGACATGCTCCCCTTCTTGCTACCATAAACTGTAGAGCTTCTCAGTTACTTCACATGAGGAGGTGTGCTGCTCCAGAAGGAAAAATTCCCCCCCTTGTTTCTGACCCAGGTACTGGGGCACTAATTTTCATGCATGCTAGTATAAGGTGGGATGCAAAGGGAGCAATAAACTCACATACCTACACACAAACAGTTCTAAGCACTTATGAAAAAACAGGAGCAGAAATTTAAAAAAAAAGTCACAATTAATCCACATATGCTGTTGGACAACCACCTGCTTTGATCTTACCAACCAACCTGCTGTTTTGCTCTGACAAAGGGAGAGCTTGGGACTCATCAGGCTTATTTTACTTGTTTCATTTCTGCACTGTTTCTCACTATGGCCACCTTTTAAAGAACTCCCTGTCTCAAGGAGCAGTAAAATTATCTTTCTCTTCATCTCTGGAGTAATAATATTTCTGATTACAGCCCACAAGATGGGCTGAACTCAGCCACCAAAGCAGCACCAACAACAGCCTTGCTGTTGTTCCCATTGCTTGTCAGCTTAGTCCCCTAAACTGCCAGAACACTACCAAAACAAGGGAGTTTTGCCATCTTTTAAATAGGTCAAATTAGCTCATAAATGTCCAAAAAGCACCATCATGGTACAAGGTAAATGGCAGAAACTGGAAGAAAGGCATTTATTTCCCTTTTGGCAACACTGAGCTATTGGACCAGCTCAAGCTGCACGTGGAACTGTACCCTAACCTGAACCTCCCAACCCAGAGCAATTTTCATCCTATATGATAATATCTAGTGCTTAGATGTCTAAATGCACATCACACAGCTCTTGCCTGAGAGTAAACATGATAGCAGGTAATCACTGAAGAGCAACAACTCTCCAAGACCTTTCTCCTGTACTTTCACCACCACAACACACATGGACGCGCTCTCCTTCCCTCCTCCCACTAAAAGGCCTCCTAGTCCACACACAACTAACCATGTCTACAGCTTTCCCTTGCTCTGTTATTTTATGGCTTACAACCAACAAAATTCAGTGCTTGAAGCAACCCAGCAAAGCCTTAGGAGACAGAACAGAAGCTTACTCTGCAATTTACCAGCATTGGGACCTGGTTCTCCACAGCACAGTAACAAGCACACGGACACAGACACCCCGTCCTCAAAGACTCTGCCAGGGTCCTGCTCACAACTTGTCACATGAGTCTAAGCTTAAACAGGCAAATTTATCAAGTCTCTGATGTGAAGAGTTCATGTGCAAGCTATGCCTGAACTTACTCCTCTTACCTGCTGGCTGTAGGCAGGGACAGAATGCTACTGTCTCTGCCTGAGGATTTCACAGCACAGTAGGCAGCCTGGTGCCCAAAGGAGTCTGTTCAAGCTTCCTTCTTCTACTCAAGTTACCAGTCAGGCTGGGTGGCATATTTCTTAACCTCATCTCAATGAGAGTCACAGAGAAACTCAGAAAAATATTTACATTTAACTGGTTCCTAGTAAGTCAAGACTACTGTCCTGTCTCATCATGAGAAATATCAAATAATGCTAGTATGCAAACACACTGTTCACCTAAAGCACCTTGCTTTGTTTGTGTGAGACATTTTCATGAAATCTGCAAGGTCTTTTGGTAACTTAAATAAATATTCTTTTAGGGAAAAAGAAACCTACCAACCTAAATCCAGGCCAAACACCACAACAGGTAGAGGGTCTCAAGACTCCTCTTACACCAAGCATGAAGACTTTAATACCTTTTTGTACCTAATAAGCCAGGGAGAGGCACGGCATATCAATCTGACACACAAAAACCACATGACAGACTGTCACAGGCAGGCAGGACAGAGAAGGCTCTACAAACTGGTCACAGGAAAGCAAGAGCTTTCCTGGTCTGCACTTGTTAAAGCTACTGATAAAGCAAGCTGAAGATAAGCAATACGAAAATTGCAACAATTGAAGTTAAAACAGCTTGAGAGGTTTGATATTTATTGAGTTTGTAAAGGAGCTGAGTTTTAATACAGTGAACAGAGCAATACTTCTAGCAGTAAACCAGGCTAGGATGAAGTATAAAAAATGCTAAATTTAGATGTAAGCACTTTTGAGAGACTTATGTGAGAAAGCTGGGATCAAACATACAACCCTTTAAACATAGACAGGAGATAAGGCTTTTCAGTAAAATCTTAGATGCTGTGGAAGTCTGCTATCCTATCAACAAATAAACAAGCTTAAATCCTGTGAGTGAAGTAGGTCTGACATGCAAGGAGCAGAAAGTTGCAGAGAGCACCCAGATACCATGGCAGGGGATTTAGGCTGCACTTTCCCAACTGCAAGGACAAGGATGTACTTCTCCAGGAAGCACAGCCCTCATTCCAGCCTCCCCCACACTGTGGGACCCTCACCTTGTTGTAGAACTCCTGCTCCCTGGGACCACGAGGTGGTGGCTGCAGCTGCTTCAGGACAGTTCCATCTGGATGCTGCAGTATGCCTAGAAGAGAAGCATTTCCTTCAGGGCTCAGTTTGAAAAGGTACAGCTTTCTTTTTGCCTTTTTTTCCCCCCAGAAATAGTGACTTCACCATCAAGGACAGCCTATTGAAAAGCTGCACTGTTTCCACTGCACACATACTAGAGACAAAATTATCAGCTCCAACACATAACCCTTAGCAGAGGTTTGCTTGCATTCCTCTTATTTCTAGCCACTGAATAATCTCCTGGGTGTAGCTCTGCCCAAGGCCAACACAGTACTGGGATTTAACATGAAAACTTCCACCCCCAAAAACCCCATCATTAACTCAAAGAGATTACACAGACACTCCCTTTTTAAATAATTCATAAATTGTTCTCCAACAATGCCAAGACTTTAAAGGAGTAGCACATTGAATGTATTTCTCACTACTAGAACAGAAATAAATGTCCTGTGGATGTACCTCTACACTGGTGGCACAGATAGAGTATGTCTTCACTACAAGAAGCAGCATCCCTACAGCACTCCAAGCTATCAGATGCTGCTATTTGTATCACCCATAATTACAGTACAGAATTTCATCTCAGCCAGGAAACACCTCCATCAAGCCTGCACAAAAAAACCCTCTAAAATACCCTCATCAAACAGCCTTATGACTCTCCAGCCACCAGTATTTCTGAATAACTGCAGAAGAAATGCAGCTTAAGTATCTGAGGATGCTCAAGACATGGATGTAGGCAAGAATGGAGAAAAGTAACTGCATCCCTCTGAAATGTGTGCTGTGTTGCACCATTAGATTCAGCAGAAAACAAAAAACCCACTTCTGGAAAAGAATTTTTCTCCAAGGATTAATTTTTAGTTTGTCAGACAATAATTTATTTTGCTTAGAAGAGTAGAAAAAATGTCAACTGTATCCAAAACAGGTTCTATTTTCAACTGAGAAAATGTGAGAAAACAGAAAAATGAGCCTGGAGCTTTGCATCCCAAAGAGAGTTTGCAGTTCTAACAGCAATTGTGTTTTTCACCCCTCAAAAACCATTATCTACAAATGGCTCTGTTGTGCAGTCTTGGAAACTAAACAAAATTTTTAGAGGTCAAGATATTTACTTGAAAATGACCACCAAACTTAGAATTGTTGTTTCAATAGTTTGCTATGCCAAATATTTGCTTTTAAAATTTGCATAAAACAGCTCTCAAATCATGTTTCCTGCCTAAAATTGGATTTTAAACACTTTTCAAAACTAGAAAAATATTGCCACACACGTGCAGGCTACCACAACATCTTCAAGACACAGCAGCTTGTGTTCCCCCTCCCTGTGCCCCTTCTGCATGTGCTGGAAACCACTCTGCAAAGTGCACCAGATACTTCAATGGCACGTGTTCCATGTGTGAATTGTTAACAATCACATTAAAATAAAATAGGTTAAACATTAAAATAGGTTTTAGAACACATGCTCCTCAAAAATCTGCATTTTGCCTTTGATAAGCAGACAACCTACAGAAAGACCAGGCAAAGATTCCTGGAGGCAGAATCCATACACTAGTGGGTTTTACATATTATTTGAAGAGTTGAATATAAACTGACATCCAAAGTTCCCTCATTCTCTGCATTCTTGACAGACTAGAACATTTACTGCACTACTCTGTCACTGTGACTGGGGCAAGCCTGAAAACCAGAACCATGTTTCAACATTCACCACAAAGAGGTAAAATCCATAACCTTCCCTCTGATCTACAAGAAGCACAGATCACCTCCACCTGCAGATCATACCAAGAGATGGATGTTGGCCATGGGTTTGTTGTAGGCTTCCTGGGATTTTTTCAGCACAGACAGGGAATAGGACCGTTTTAACATATGAAAAAGCAAATTAACATTTCTGAGGAATCAACCGAACTATGCTGAAAATAAGTTCCTCACAAAAGTTCCTCCCTGGCTGTGGATGCAAAGCTTGTTACCACTCTGAAATGAGCAGCAAGTCATTCTGAAGGAGCATGGCCCCTTTAGCTACAGAGCCCCACTACTGGCTTGGGGACCCCCAGCATTTTGCAGGTCCAGGCACCAAACCACAGGCAGGTGCAGGAGGCTCTGTAGGTGACACATCCCACCAGGTGCTGTCTCTCTCTGCCTGCCTAGGGAATTCAGCTACAACCCAAAGTCATTACTTTACTCACTACACACGATTTATCTGGGAAGCAGTACTGCACACAACATTCAACAAAAGGGCACTCACAATGCACAGCAGCCTAATGTCTACACATGCAGGCAGAGAGGCTCTGAGAGGCCCTTCTTTGCAAGGCAGTCACAGGGAACAAAGGGGAAAATGAAGGTTATTCAGGAGAAATTTTACTGTGTACTTTTACTAAAAAAAAGTAAAAGTTCCAAATGCTTTGGATACCTTCAAGTCCTCTGTCTGTTTGTATGTGGGAATAGAAGGGAAAAATCGAGTTACAAAAATGAGAGCTGTGAGTACCAGAACAGCTTTGGTCTTCATTTCAACATAAAACAGTTTCCAAGATGAGATCATAGACTATGGTGGTGCCTCTGAAAAAAAGTCTTCATCTTGCCCACAAGATGTAGTGGAGCAAGCTTTACCTAACCCATTGCAGTGGCACCCAAAATACAGATGATCACCTGTGCTGTTTGACCTAACTGCACTAAGAGTGATGTGCCAAAGGTGAAGCTCTCCCTGATTGAGCCTTTTTTTGCCTGATCCCACCTCATGCTATGATGTATGAACACTGAACACACACACACCTTCAAGGACCCAGTGCACCTCCATGTACATTTTATTGCACTGGCTGCAATGGGGCAAGGGACAAGAATTACTTTTCTGTGGAGATTATCAGCAGCAAGACATGCCATGGAAACAGCCTGCAGATAAAACAAACTCATAGCACCCTTAGTGCTGTAATTCCAGTCACCGATGATCTAAAAGGTTCTGAAGTTCAGCCCTTGGCAGGGGCAAAGAGAAGAATGTTTTTTGTTGAGATTATCTGCAGCAAGGCACACCATGGATGCAGGCCCTAGATAAGACAAACTCACAGTGCCATTAGTGCTGTAATTTCAGTCACTGATAGCTGACAGGGTTCTGGCCTATTCAGCAGGGGCAGTTCCTACAGCCAGGGTTCAAAGGCAATATGCCAGCAGGTGCCCATTATAGCTTCTCTCAGAGAGCACACAGCAAGCTAAATGGATGCACACCTTCCATCTGGGCTGAGAGGCAGGAGTTCCCCCAAATGCAAGGTCCTGGAAAGGCGAGAAATGCCATTTGGCAACATGAACTTGGCCACTTGCTTTGGCACTGGCCACTGCCTATGCTAAGAGGCCCCTCCATGAGAAGGGCCAACACCTTACTCCTCACCATGGAGCTAAAACAGACATTTAGAGCTGGTGCAGGCATACTGTATCCTCATGTCTTTGTATTATCAGATCACTTCCTAGCCATTGGCTCTGATTTATCTTCAAATAAACAAGCAAATAACTATAGCTTAGTAATAATTTGCTGAAGTTTCTGGTGGCCACAGGTTCAGGTAGTCCCGTTAGATAAAGCACATTTCTGACATCTGTTCTCAGAAAACCAGCATGCCGTTACCTGAATCCCCACTTTTAAAAAGGTGCCTGATAAAATGAAGCTGAACGGCAGAAGACAGGTTTAAGGGTGCCCACCAAGGATAACCACCACGTCCTGACAGACTAATGCCATTTAGGAAAAGCACCAGAAAAATGAAATTTAGCAGAGGTTTCACCGCTCCATCCACGGCCTGTGCGTAGCGGGGAGCTCACCGGCAGCCCCTCCGACCTCCCCGGGGCGGCTCCGGTCCCTCGGCGCTGCCCCAGGCCCAGCCCCGGCCTCCCGTGCTGCTGCGGCCCCTCCGGCGGGCAGGTGCGCCCCGAGCCCGGCGGCGGGAGCTCGGCAAGGGCGAGTCCTGCGCTCGGCCCCCGGCGCCGCTCCCGCCTGCACCGACCCTTGCCCCGCCAGCCACAGAGCTGCCCCTTCGCCGCCGGGCCGTGAGGGAACGCGAAGCCAAACCCGCCGGTCACAGCCGGTCTGGGAGAATTCAGCTAAAGGCAGGGTAGGGTGGGGGTGGGAAGAACTCCCTCGCGGGTGTCCCGGCCAGGCCCGCCGCCCCCTCCCCGCGCCCGTCGCCGCTCACCGCCTTTATCCTTGCCGTACATGTGCCCGGCCACTTGGTGCGACAGCGGCACGCATCCGTTCAGCGCCCGCCGCCGGCCGCCCCCCGCCGCCGCGGGGCCCGGGGAGGCGCCGAGCACCGGCTGGGCCTCGGCCTCGGCCTCCTCCGTCTCGCCGCGCCCGCCGCCCGCGCAGCACCCGCGCCCGCCCTCGGGGCGCCCCGCCGGCCGCGGGGGCTCCGTGGCCATGTCCCGGCGCTGGGGGGCTGCCGGCGGCGGGCCGGGGGTGGCCGCGCTCTGCCGGCGGCGGCTGCGGCCAGGCCTCAGCGGGCCCTGCGAACCAAGGCGCGGGCGGCGAGGGCCCGCGACTCCATCACCCCGCACCGCGCCGTCCGCCCACCCCGCGCTGGGGCTGGGGCAGCCACGGCCGCCGCCTCGCCCCGCCCCGCCCCGGGCGTGGCTCCGCCCCCGCCGCCCGGCGCGGCCCGGCCCGGCCCGCAGCGGGACCGCCGCTGTGCTGACGATGACGGTGGCCCTGGTGGCGCCGCGTGGGGCGCGGCCCCGGGAGGAGGCCTGTGCGGGCAGTCCCGGTTCAGCGGCGCTGGAGAAGGGAACGGGGCCCGGCGCAACCGCCCGAGCGGCCCCGAGCCGCAGAGCGGCCACGGAGCCCCAGCCGCGGGCGCCCCGGCCCTGGCTCCCCGCGAGAGCGGCAGAACCGAGCGGTGGCGGGCAGGGGGCGTTCCCTCCGCTGGTTCCCGGTAACCTGAAATACCCCCGAATCCTCTTCGTTTTTAAATAAATCTACCGTCACGCCGAGGTTTGTTCCATTTCTTCTGCAGCAGATCGGAGTGAGTGCGAGGGAGATCCAGCCGAGGTGTACAAACAGTGTAAAACCTTGACAGCTGACAAGGAGCCCTTAAAGCAGCCTAAACCAGAACCTTTCCACACTCTGTATGTGCTGGTCGTGCATTATAGATGAGTGCACCTGGCCCAGCACCAGATTAAACTAAACAGATTAATCTCTAAATTGAATTTTACCTCCCCATGAACAGAGGAAAGTATGCATGGCCCTGCATTCACTCTCAGGACCCCAAAACTTGTCTAGGAGACTTCATTACCCTTCAGTAGGGCTCATATCAGCTCTATTTGGCAGCCTGTAATTACTGCCTTTTCTTTTTGCTGTTTCTATCCCTTACAAAATGAGCAGATCTCTGAGTACTAAATCTGCACTTTTGTTGTGATATCTGCCAGTATCAAGTTCTGTTTAGCATTAGTAGGACAAGAACAGGAAAAAAAGGCCAGAGACAGGAAAATTAATTTGAGCAGATACAGGTTGTTTTCCCAGGTTTTATAAAATGGTCTGATGCATATTCCAGAATTGGCATTTAGACCAGAGAAACCTCGATATGATGAGCTTGGCTATTTCCCACCTCTTCTCCATCCCACGGCTGGCAGATGTGGAGATATGGCAGGTGGTTGGGAGAAGTGGCAATTTAAGGGATTTACTGGGGAAATTAGAGTATCAAAGGAGCTGGAAGGTCATGGGGAAAATTAAAACTTGAAGAGTGAGAGAAAAGAGCAAAACATAAATCAGTTGAAACTGAGTTTCTTAGTTCACTGTTCATGGAACAGTTTGTTTTACACACTTAATTGGATAAGGTGGTGCAGACAGGGGTTACAACTCAGCAAGATCCTTCCTGAAGTAGCAAGGCTGGGCAGAAAAGATTTCTTCCTCCTGAATATCCCCTTCTCATCAGTCATTACCGTACAGCTCTAAAGATCAGGAGCCAGATGGGTGCAAAAGTAAGCTCCTATCTTCAGATAAACAATGATGAGTTTTCCCAGGGGGGTGCTGGCACAGGAAATACCACAGCTTGGCCAACTCTTGCACAAGAACTAGTGACGTGTACAGCGAAAAAGTGCACAAGTGTGTGTGTTTGGCAGAAAGAAGGCTCCCAGTCTTGACAGCAGTAGCTGCAACAAAGTTTGGATGCCAGCCTGAGCCTTGCAGAAAGGTATTTCCCTCTTCAAAGATGTGAGGCACTTCAGCTGATCTGGGTCTAAACACTAAGAGAAAAACAGAGATGGCATTTCAAAGCTGTCTAAGTGCCCATCTAACACTGCCATCTGCCTGAACTCAAAATCTCAGTGGAAGAAAGAATGGGATTAAAAGGCAAAAAAACCACAGAATTTAAGGATTATTCAAGCACCTAGTCCTCAGTGGAGCTGCTAGATACTCTTGCAGCTAACAGAAGTGTGCCTGGAGGGCATTAAAAGAAATACAAAAGCATGAGTAATTGGAATAAGTAAACACTGACTCTTTCCTTTTCCCTGACATTTGCTTTAGTCAGATTTATGCATATAGAAATCAAGTGACGTGAGACTATCCTCCACTCACTCATTCCACCCTCACACTTCAGCACATGGAGTACACTAATCTATCTGGGAACTTCTCCTAAAATGAAACAAGTGAAACAGAGAGAATAGCAGAAATGGCAAATAATTCCTTTCTCCACAGTGTGATCCTGTAAGAGATTGCACTGAAAACTGAACCTACCAGCAAGATTCCCAAGGGAACTTTTCATCTCCAGGTTGTGTGACTGCACTCCAAGAGAAAGCAGAAGAGGCTGTAGAAGCAGAACAGCTTCTAAAGGAGGGGCATTTGTTTGAGAATCTCCTCCAATTCCTCCAACAAAATGCATTTGGCAAAATTATACTTAATTCTGGATTACTCTTTCCCACTGTTGCTGAAGATCAATCTTCCCTGAGTCAGTCTGATGACAATGTACAGACCAACAATGCCTAGAAAATGGCAGGACTGTGTTTGTGCTGTGCAAGGAGGGGTCATGGGCAGATAGCACAGCTGCCCCAAACTGAGCGAGGATTACAAAAGAATCCCCTTCTGCTGAAATAAAGGCCTTTTTCAAAGACAGAAGCGAGTTAATAACTAACCACAAGACACACAGTAGTTTAGAACAGGAAATAAGCTCCTGTTCAAGTGGAAGTGCAGGAGGACATTAGGTAAACAGAGGAGTGGGGGTGGGTCTTTGCCAAAATATCAGTCCTCTAGAAGTATGCTGACAGCAAACTCTGCTGCATTTTTCACTGTACCTTCACATGGTTCACAGCCACCTCTTCCATACCTGACCAAAAATACTGCTCTTTTGCCAGAGCAGTGCTTTCTGCAAGCTCTGTATGAGAGACGTGGACCCTGCTGCCCACAGAGCCACTTCCTGCATCAGGCTGCTGCATGTGCATAGCTCTTGCCAGACCAAGAGATTGCAACAGAGCCAGCCAGGAGCAGACACGTGGGCCTGAGAGCAAATGTCCATCACCCAAACCAGTGATCTGCTGGGCAGGCAGAAGCATCTGCAGTGGGGCTCCTGCAGGCAGGTAGGCCTGTCCCACTCACACAACACAAGGCAGACACCTTCACAGCAGCAAGGAACTTGTAGCAGCACTGCAGCTCTTTTTTCTTGCCATTTCAAAGCAGAAGTGTTGCTGTATTGTGACCTCTTAAAATCACTCAGGGCATTTAATCCTTTGTTAAATTCACAGAAGTTCTGTCCTGTCTTGTTCTTGTTAAGTGAAGGAAAATCTAAACATACCCTTATCTGCTGCAGCTGTAAAATTCAAGAGTGCCATCCTGCTTTCTTTCCCAGCTATGGCCTTGTCACTTAGGCATCATGTCCCACAATGATTTATATTTTACCTGGCAAATGGATGCAAACTCTGTGACACTACTCTCCTCCCTGGCAACTGGTCCATTTGGGTTTTCTAGAATGAAAACAAAGGGATGCTGTCAAAAGCCAACCTACACTCCCTGTGATAATGTGGTACATTTAAAAAAATACTGCAGGGTTAACTCATAGCAGTTGTGTATCTTCTGGATCACCTCTTCTACAATCAGAACTGCAGCTATGAATATTGGGAAGTCTGTTCTGTATTAGAAAGATACAAGGACTATAAAAGTGAGAAGCTCATTCCAACAGTTCTTCAGAATCCTTGGATTTTATTTTCTCCTTGGTTATCAATTAAGAAACCAAGCCAAGTATTTGACAGAAAAGTTCATTTTTGAACTGAGAGTAGATTAAAGGCTGGGAGGCAAATGAAAGGGCTTTGATGATGGAGAGGAGGCAGCAGTGAGGGTTTGCTGAGTCTGGTTTTATTCAGTATCTTCATTCACAACCTGCAGAGAGTGCACAAAATCTCCAGGTCTACAGGTATTCCTGACCTCCTCAGGGCAGTCAAATGCCATGCCAATGACAACATCCTGCAGGATCTCACAAAACTGAACAAAAGGCACACTTGGCATAGGAGTTTCAGTATAGATAAATGTAGGGTAACACATGTAGAGGAAGATAATCCAAACCAAAGCTCTTTGATGCTGATGATGGAACTGGCCATCATGGCCCAGGAAAGAGGCCTGAAGTTGCTGATAAGAGTTGCCTGAAATCATCAACCCAGCGTGCATCTGCAGCCAAAAAATGCCAACAAAACTTTTGGGAAGCAGCAGGAAGTGTTAAGGGAAAGACAAAAGGTGTCATTTTTTTACTCTGTATAGCCTCAGCATGACATATACTGAGTCCAACTTCCATGCCTGGTCTCTCACAGAGAATAGGAACATACCATTAACTATCAGTGTGAAAGATTAAACCAAAAAGATTTGTGGAGAGCCTAAATAGCTGAAGCATGCTTTAGCTGCCTCCAGTCCTAGAAAACAGCAATGACAGATGTGTGTGCTTTGACATCCTTGAGAAAGAAGCTGAGCTTCTCTCTGTATCAGAAACTTGAGATCAAAGTCTTGGTACCATCTCCTGATCTCATGGCTTACCTGCAGATACAGATCCTCCTTTTGTCCTTCTAAACAGGGATTTTTCCAAGTACAGTGTTGTATCACTATCGGGGGTTGCTCAGGGTTTACAAATGCATGATGGCATTTGGATTTTACCAGTCACATCCTAATGCTTTAGGATAAGCCCAGAACTTGATTTAAGGTGATTAACATGCCAAGAGGTTTATTCAAAATGCCTGTTTGTCTTTCCCTAGAGGTGACTTAGATTGCCTCCACCTGCAGTAAAATTAAACACTTATTTATTGATTAAACCCACTGGCATCAAAAAAAGTCTGTTCTATTAAGTGGTATTCTACTGCCAAAATTTATTTGCAAAACAACAGTCACAACCCTTAAAAAGTAATTTAACCTGCACAGCTGTTAGAGCCAAGAATGAATCACAGAATCACAGAATTTCTAGGTTTGAAGAGGCCTTTAAGATTGAGTCCAACCCATGTTCTAACACCTCAGCTAGATCATGGCACCAAATGCCACATCCAGTCTTTTTTAAACACATGAGAGTGAAAGAACACACTGTTTGAAAAGAGCAGCATAATTTGGTAATTACTGC